TGGTCCAGTGGGTAAAAGTGAAGCTCAGATACTCTTACCCCTGACCAGAGCCCTGGCCAAATGCTCACAAGGTCAGTGACCAGGAAGAACTTTTTTTTTTTTTTTTTTGGTTGTTACTGTTTTGAGGCAGGGTCTCCCTCTGTGGTCCAGGCTAGCCTTGAACTCACTATGTAGCCCACAAACTTGTGGTGATCCTCCTGTCTCAGCCTCAGGAGTGCTAGGGCTATAGGCATGTGCCACCACACCAGGGTCTGGTTAGGAACCTTTTGGTGTTAGGCATGGTATACTGTCAACCTGTGGGAGACTGAGCCACAGCTTTGCAAGGATAAATGCCATGTCCTGAGCCAGGTAGGTACCTGTCACGGCAGTGTCACAACACCCCCTGGAGCTCATGAGGAAATGTCACCAAGGATGTGGTGGCACGTGTCTGTCTTCCCAGCACTCAGACACGATCAGGCATATGCAGGGTGGTATGGTCATAGTACCCCAACACTCAGGGGACTGAGACAGGAGGAACGCCTTGAGTTCGAGGCTAGCCTGGACTACCTAGTGGGACCTTGTCTCAAATACAACAAAAACGAACGTTAAAGCGCCGGAACGTTTTGATGTTGGAATCAGCCCATGCACCTGTACGGCCAGTGTATGGCTGGGTCTACAAAGTGGATCTGCTGCTGTACAGGCTTGTGAGGTCAGGACTCGGGACTCCAGGGGGACATGAGCTAGGATAGCCATGCCTCCTGCAGGGTTTCAGCCTGCAGTTTGCAGTCCACAGGTGGGTCCTGAATTCATTTGCATAGGCTTTGGTCAGCACTAAAACAAACATTAATGGAATCAGGTATGGTGGTACACCTGTAACCCCAGGAGTCTGGGGGCTGAGGCAGAAGGGTCTTGAATTTGAGGTAAACCCTGGGCAATTTAAGACACTGTCTCAAAGAAAAGGGCTGGAGATGTTGCATAGTGGAAAGTCCTGGGTTTGATCTCCAGTAGAAGAGGAGGAGGAAGAGAAGGAAGAGGAGGAGATAGAGGAGGAGGAGGAAGGGGAAGAGCAGTTAGGAGAAAGAGAAGGTGAAGGAGAAAAAAATTCATTCGGTGAACTGTATTTTTTGGTGGTGCTGGGGATTGAACTCAGGCCCTTGTGCTTGCCAGGCAAGCGCTTATTTTACTGAGTCATCTCCCTGGTCTCACATCGGTGAACTGTAATGCTGAAAGCTAAGAAGCAACTGTGCCCAATTCTTTTTTTTTGCGGAACCAGGGACTGAACTCAGGCCTTTGCACTTGCCAGGGAAGCGCTTATTCCACCGAGCCATCTCCCCGGCCCCTAAACCAACCTATTCATGATATTATTTTTTATTTATTTTGCAGTACCGGGAATTGAACTCAGGACCCTGAGCTTGTCAAGCAGGCGCTTAGTCTACTGAGCTATCTCCCTGGCCCACTGTGCCCAATTCTGATAGGGACAAACGACAACTCAGCTGGTGACCCGCTGGCTATGGAGGTAGTGCTCCACGGGGACTACTTCTCGTAGGGAAAGATTCTGGCTTTGTTTAACAGAGAGCATCCTGTTGCTGGAGCCAGATGTTTCCACACCTGGTTATCATCAAGGCCTCCAGGCTGGAGGCGGCAGGGAGCAGCAGGCAGAGGCTCTAGGGGGAGCGGCTCACTCCTCCCGCACTCTGCCCAGCACAGTTCTGAAAAGCCTGTGTAAAATGGAAAGGAAAGGTCAAACTCTGCACATATGACAGAACCCTAAAATAGGTGGTACAGGAGAAAAGAAAATTTTTTTTTTTTGGCGAAACTGGGGATTGAACTCAAGCCCTTGAGCTTGCCAGGGAAGCGCTTATTCCACTGAGCCATCTCCCCGGCACCCATAATCTTTTTGTTTGTTTGTTAGCTTTTTGCCTTGAGACAGAGTCTCATGATGTCTGCTGGACAATATTCCTGCCTCAGCTTTCTGAGAATTTGGGTCACAGGCATTTGTCACCATGCCTGTCTTACTCCCAACTTGTGAAGCACAGAACTGTTTAGGGAGCCAGGAATGACACTTCTGGCTCTCTGGAGAGCGTGGCTGGCTGCTGGAGATGGTAGATTTGCAGACAGCCTGCCCTGAAGAGACCCTTGCAGCTGGCTTTGCATACATGGATGTGTGTGTGTGTGTGGGGGGACTGTGGAGGAAAGAAACCAGCACTGAAGCTGTGCCCAGGTACACCAGCGGGCTGGCGGGGGGACCCCACCGGGGAAGGTGGCCACAGAGCTCTGGAGAGGCACAGGGTCAAGGGTCTGGTCCCAGAGTGCAGGCAGTACCACAAGGGCTGGGTTCTCCTATACTGGCTCCCGCCCTCTCCCCACCTCAGTGCCATCCCTGCACCTCCTGAGGTAGATGTCCCGGCATGGGAAGGACTATCAGGTCAGGGCCCCGGCTTCCCAGTACCTCAGGAACAGGAGGGAGAGGGAAGCTCAGGTCTGGGCCTGGCAAAACCTCTGGGAAGGGGCTGG